CTCTCACTTCTCCAGCGATCCAGCCATTTCCTTGCGTGGTAACACCCATCATTTACTTCCTATAAGCAGCCCTGGGGAAGGCTCCATCCTTACCAAAGGAGTAGTAGCTTGTACATCCATATAGAGAGGTCGCAGCACTGGCCCCGCCTCTGGGACAGCAGCTGTATCTGCAGGAACAGCAGACTGAGGAGCAAGGTCTCTTACTGAAAAAAATGGAAAGGAGTGGCCAAGTAAGACCGAATGCAACTATGAAAGCATGGCATCCAAAGGGCAGAAGAAAAACTCTGGCTGGAGGTAAGTGTAAGGGATGCTGGGGTCGAATCTCAATGGAAAGAAAACAACACCAGAGACCTGAGACGCTCGCTGTAAAAGGAGGTAAAGAAGAGGGAGAGAGGCTTCCTGGAGGGGATGTTGGGGTGATATTCAAATGGTCTCGTAGGGAGTGAGGAGGGCTCTAAAGGGCAAAGCCATTTAGAAGGAACGGGGAGCCAGAGTAGGTGCAGTCCCTTCCGAAGGTAAGGTCTGCATGGAAGCCCGGAGCAGCATCTGTAACTTGGCCAGGAGCGGTCTGAAGGACGCGCCTCCACGGCTCTGGGGCCTTGTCACGCAGGGTGCGAGGGGTGGTGCGCCGGGGTCAACCGTTCGGGGACCCTCCTGAGAAAGTCTGAGGGATGTGTCGTTTGAAAGAAAGTTTGAGAGAAAGGGTCAGAGGGTTTGGCAGTAGAGTGGATAGGAAGGCTCCGGAATATTCAGTTGCGTCGCCGCGCAGGGCGGGGGACAGGTTCGCGCCTCCAGGCAAGCAGGACCCAAGCGTACCGCGCAGGCGCAGCCCCCGAGTGGGCGCCGCAGCCTTCGGCCCTGTAGCCGCCGTCACCGCCACTGCCGCCCGCCTCCAAGCGGCCCGGAGCAGCATGATCCCGCTGGCAGAGCCCACCACCCGACGCGGCTGCAGTCCTGGGTCCCAGGCTCCCGGAAGTGCTGCTGCGCGCTCCGGAAACGATTCATCGGGCCGCTAGCGCCCTCCCCGTCGTTTTCCGTGACAGACGTAGAGCTAAGCGACCGAGGCCGCGAGCGAGGTGAGGTATGCGCCGGGCGACGCGCGTCCGGAACGGAGGAGGGTGGTGGAGTCAGGCTACGCGCTGAATTTCCTTCCCAGACTTTCCCTGAGCACTTGAGCCCACTTCCCAGCCTCCCGCCTCTGTCCCCGCCCGACTCTCGGGCTGGCGCCTGGGCCCACACTTTCCTATCCCCCTCACCCCGCAGATGCCGGTGGCCGTGGGTCCCTACGGACAGTCCCAGCCAAGCTGCTTCGACCGCGTCAAGATGGGCTTTGTGATGGGTTGCGCCGTGGGCATGGCGGCCGGGGCGCTCTTCGGCACCTTTTCCTGTCTCAGGTGAGAGGCGCGGGCGGTGATCTCTGGGCAGGGCAACCAGACCTTCCGGCCCTTCCCCATTCGGCCTGGAGCCTGAACAGAGAGCCTCCTTCTTTCCACTTCCCTCGCTGTCCCCTTGCTAAGCCAGGCTCTTTACAAAACTACCTTAAATTTGGAAGGTCAGGTTGTGGAAGTGTCAATTTGAGCTTTAGAGTCAAAATGTTTTCTCGCCCTTCTCTTACTGATTCGGTGACTTTAGGCAAGTTGGAGACTGGGTTTCCTCTAATGTAGAATGAAGACAGTAGCACCCACCTTAATGAGGTCTAAAAATTCGATCAGCACACTTTGCACAGCATCTGGCACATATTAAGTGCTCAGTAACTGGTTACTACTGTTGCTGTCATTTTTATTTCCAATTGCGCATGGGAAAAACTTGTTGAGCGGTTTTACTATTCTGGATACAAGGACACAGAAATAAAGCAAATAAACTTTACACTCTGAAGGTCATTTTTACATTTAGAGGCTGTTATTGCCATATCTCCACATTGTAAATTGCCATTTACGAACATTTACTATATGTTAAACACTGTGCCAAATGCTGTAGCTTTCAAAACAATCCTGTAAATAATGTGGAGATGCCCATTTTACACTTGACATAACGTGTAAATTAAAGAGCTGACTTTTGAACCCCAACCTTACTCCACAATCATTAACACCAAAAAACTGTCTAAAAGACAAATGTCTTTATTGGGTCACATTTAACCTGCAGGCAAAACCAGTCCTAAAAGCTGGTTTCTCTATGTATTTTACACTGCATCTGCTGCCTCCCACAAACTGAAGGCAATTAATAATTCCTGAAGAATGCCCTGGAGACCCAGTTGGATCTTTTTCCTTTTCATTACCAACCCCAGGTAGTAAGAGATAATATTTAGTAAGTGGAAAATGAGATGTAGGGATTGCTAAACTAGTATAAGCAAAATTGGAAAGGGGTAGTTAATACTCCTTCCGGTATTTTTATCAAATAGCCCCATCTTGGTTTTCTCCTCAGGATCGGAATGCGAGGTCGGGAGCTGATGGGCGGCATTGGGAAAACCATGATGCAGAGTGGCGGCACTTTTGGCACATTCATGGCCATCGGGATGGGTATCCGATGCTAACCATGGTTGCCCACTACATCCATCCTTTCCCATCAGTCCCAGCCCATGTACTAATAAAAGAAAGTCTTTGAGTAGTCTCAGTGTCCCTCTGTTAAAGGCATTTTATTCTCTCAGCCTATTATCCAGCTTTGTAATGACTAGGGTTAGGGTCTCTTTCATAAGGTCTGGCACTCTTAATCCAAAATTGGAAAACCTGGGAGTGTCTAGTACTTTCCATAGATACTCGTCAACTAATTACTCAGTAAACTCCTCTGTGCTTGTTGATACAGTCACCATTTTAAAGGAGAAAAACTTTCAAAAAATGGACTTATAAGCCTAAATTTCCTCAAGGTCACACATTACATTATTTCCAAAGCATTATTCATCCTGAGTTTTTGTTTTTCCAAGACAGAGTCTTGCTCTGTCACCCAGGCTGGAGTGCAGTGGCACGACCTAGGCTCACTGCAACCTCCGTCTCCTGGGTTCAAGCAATTCTCCTTAAGTCTCCAGAGAAGCTGCGATTAGTCATGTGCCACCATGCCCGGCTAATTTTTGTATTCTTTGTAGAGACAAGGTTTCACCACGTTGGCCAGGTTGGTCTCCAACACTTGACCTTGTGATCCACCTGCCTCAGCTTCCCAAAGTGCTGGGGTTACAGGTATGAGGCATTGAGCCCAGCTCGATGGGCTATTAGAAATACCTATTAGCTTTATCAGATAAAGCAAAATATCCACTATGAAACAAATTAGAAACATTAACCACTTCTGTATCTTCTCAACTGGCTAAATTCCAAATGATTTTCTAACCAATCGTCAATCTAAACTATATAGCTTACCCTCTGCAAACTAGTTTGGTAAGAAGCTTCTGTAGTGAGGCAGTTGTCCATCTCACCTGCCTAGGCCACACAGACCTTGTTGGAGTTACTAACCTGCACTGCCCATTAAGTATTTCTTAAACAGAACTTTCACATTGTTATAAAGATAGAAGAAACTAGATGAACACTTTGGAACACTGACATGAAGGAGGAAATTAAGGACACTGTAAGATTAGCTGCAGATTTTCGAACCAGTGGGATGCAGACTCAGGAACTAACCGCATGCACATTAACAGTTTCACTGAGAATGAGCTGTTTTCCATGTGCAACACTATTCAAGACACATTTACAATGCATATTTAACAAAATGGCTTAACCTCAAACTGGTTTCCCAAATTGATTTAGCTCCATATATAGTCCTCCAACCACATTTCCTCTGAATATAAGTTATCTACACAGCAAATTTCATTCCGTGGTAGTGGCTAAATTTTAGCCACCCAATTTTTAATACTAGATGAGAAACTACTAAAGGCCATGTTTGCTGGCCCAGCTCCCTGGAAAGCAATGACATGACAAATTCGTTAGGAGGGCTTAGTAAAAGGGGAAAAAAATTATAACTTTGGGGGAAAAAAAAAGTACAGACAGAATATCGCTGCCCCAAAGAACATGCAGTCTGGTATCAAAAAATAAATTGAGGCTAGGCACGGTGGTTCATGCCTGTAATTCCAGCACTTTGGGAGGCTGAGGTGGGCGTATCACCTAAGGTCAGCTTGAGACCAGCCATGCTAACAGAGCATAACATCGTCTCTATTAAAAATTCAAAAATTAGCTGGGCACAGTGGTGTGCATCTGGGTCCTAGCTATTCATGAAGCTGAGCTGGGAGAATTGCTTGAATCTGGGAGGTGGAGCCAAGATCACACCATTGAAAGCCAACCTGAGCCAAAGAACAAGACTCCATCGCAAAAAGAAAAAGAAACTGAACTTTGAGAGTTTTCATTCAAATTAAATCACTAGAACAATAGGATAAATGTCAAACAAAATGATTGCTATGAAATTCTGATGCCCCCCAACCTCAACCTCTCCAAATAAAACTATCTGAATAAGCTTATAAAACGTGCTTCAATGCTAACAACCAAAAAGGTAAACAAATGAGGCAAGGAAATCAGTATTTGAAGGTAAATTTAGGAGCACCACTGCCTACTCAAGATTTGACCAAGATACAAAAAGTTGACGAATTGAGTATAAATGGTGTTGCTTGCTTCCCAACTAGTATGAAAGCTCAAAATCGCTTACTACATAAATATATGGAGCTAAATCATTTTGGGAAACCAGGTTGAAATTAAGCCATTTTGTTAAATATGTATTTTAAATGGTAAAGTTTTTCTTCGCAATTATACCCAGATAATGCAAGAGACTAAGAATGCCCAGGTTGGGCATGGCTATCTGTTTGCTTTTCCTTTTGGTAAACTCCTTAGTTTTGATAAATTATTCTAAAATACACAGGACTAGACTATAATGGCATAAAGGAAGTCATGGGGGCAACATGAGGACAAGTTTCCACAGACATGGCACATTTTTCCCCAAAGTGGCAAGTACTGAATCACAACTAAAAGAGGGTAATACTCTATTCTCAAATTTTGGTAACTTCAAAACATTTGAAAAATGAAGATTTCCTGTGGCCTTTTTAAGAGACTTTTATTTGAGTGGTTCTTACAAAGATTGTTGCAATATGAAAGTCATTTGTTTGATAGAAATATCAAGCTGTCTTGTCAAACACACTGAAGTAACCCAAAAATATATTTCAGAGCTCACAGAGCTTAAAAAGAGCAAAGATTATATGCAACCAGACAAAACCTATGTCTGCATTTCCTATTTTTCAGACTCCTTCGCTTACCAGACTCTCACTAAACATCTTCAGGAAATGCAGGGATCATTTTGTTTGGAATTTTAAGACACACCAGAACACATAGTATTTACAAAGAAACTTTTACAGATACATTAATTGAAAAGATACCATCAAGAAATATTATAATTTTGAAATCTCCCTTTCTTGCCAATTAATCAGAATGCAAGATGAGATGCTAACCAAGCAGCCCTTAAGCTGTCTTGTATTTCAATACACTAAATGTGTATTTCAGAAACCTGCACAACCATCAGCCAAATATCAACATTAGTGAAGTGTGAATGTAATTGCTGTGTAAAAAGTTAGGCTTCTGAAACATTAAAAACATTACATCCCTGGTCTGCCTTTTTACAGAAAGCACATTTGTTCTCCTAGAGCTATTCCTATAGTTCATTAATTTTCTACATGAACATTTTAAAAGGCAGAACAAAAGAACTGTTTTGTATACAGTGGGATTTGCTATTTAGGGAGAATGAGCACACTGCATTCCTGTTAACATTTTTATTTTTTCAAGGTAACAGGATTTGTATACAAATGACAGTAGATCCTTGCCTCTTTATTTTTATCTAAATAAAAGATAACTCAAGATGAATTCTCAAGAAAGAAAAAAAGCTATATACATAAGAGACTTTATCTTCCTTCATCGTCTACTTGGAACCAGTAGTTGTGTTGCTGTCATAGAATCAGGAAACAGGTTGTGGTAAGTTGGAAGAGGTACATATGCTGCCGTTATCATTTTACCTGTTGAAAGAAACAGACATGTTGGGTTTATCATCTTCGTTTTAGAGCCTTAATAACAACTGAAAAAAATTAATTGAAACTCACCAGCAAACCACCTGCCATGCAATGCATTGACAGCAGCAATAGCTGCAGCAATTGACGGGCACTTCACATACACATTGCCCTAAAACACAGAAAAGCAAAAAAGGTAAAATGTTGCTGTATGCAAAATGGACCAAGATGTTTATTCAAGTGGATTGTAGAAACTTATTACTCTATAACCACAAAATGGTTTATGATAATTGTTCCACTGGCTAGTAAGTATACACAGAATTTAAGTGAAAAATGACTTATATTACCGAACTTGCCTGTTCTATCTTTTCTCCATAATTTGTATGCAGCCTAAGAATAAATAAAGATGCTAAGATTTCACAGCAAGCTTGAACAGTACTAGAAACTTCTCCGATACCCTGATCAAATTGTTACTGATTTTCTTTATTTTGGAGAGTTTATTTAGCCAAAGCTACTTGCAGGCACATACACAAAAAAACTACCATAATGGAACACAGTGACCAAACATGTTCTACATATGTGTCAAGATTAAGGTGGAGAGGAACAACCTATCATTTATAAAAAATATAAAAATACCTGAGCTGAATTTTTGTCAACATAAATATGAATAACTCCTCCATGTTTATTACATTCTTCAATCACATCATCCTTAATCTCTGTATCCCATCCAACTTCTTCTTCTCTGTAAGAAAGCATTAAGTAGTCTTAAATACTACTGAAACACACTGTATATATTTACAAATGTTATAAAAAAATTGAATATTCTATGAATTTTTATAAAATACTTAGGTTCCTATCCGAGTCACAGCACCAAAACAAACAACAAAAAACTTAGGCCGGGCATGGTGGCTCACGCCTGTAATCCCAGTACTTTGGGAGGCCGAGGTGGGCAGGAATTCGAGACCAGTCTGGCCAACATGGAGAAACCCTGTCTCTACTGAAAATACACAAATCAGCCAGGCATGGAGGTAGGTGCCTGTAATCCCAGCTATTGGTGAGGCTGAAGCAGGAGAAGCACAAAAGCCCAGGAGGCGGAGGTTGCAGTAAGCTGATATTGAACCACTGTACTCCAGCCTAGCTAGGTGATGACAGAGCAAGAATCCCTATAAAAAAATATTTATGTTAAAAGGTATAGGCCACTGGGGAAAATCAAAGGAAAATAAGATAGAAAACATTGTGCTCAACCTAGTTTATGACTCCGAGCTTGAAACTGACATTTAAAAAATTGGCCACACGCAGCAGCTCATGCCTGTAATCCCAGCACTTTGGGAGGCTAAGGCAGGCACATCACTTGAGGTCAAGAGTTCAAGACCAGCCTGGTCAACATGTCAAAACCCAATCTCTATTAAAAAAATACAAAAATTAGGCATTATAGCACACACATGTAATCCCAGCACTCTCGGGGGCTGAAGCAAGCAGATCACTTAAAGCTCAGGAGTTTGAGACCAGCATGGCCAACATAGCAAAACACTGTCTCTACTAAAAACACAAAAATTAGTTGGGTGCGGTGGTGTGCACTTGGAATCCCATCTACTGAGAAGGCTGAGGCACAAGAATTGCTTGAACCTGGGAGATGGAGGTTGTAATGAGCTGAGATAGCACCGGTGGTGCCACTGCACTCCAGCCTGGAGTGAGACTGTCTCCAAAAAAAAACCGCCACAGTTAAATAGTGCTATCTTTCAAATGATACTTACAACAAAAGCCTGTCATCATTTCATCGATAAAGCTAAAATAAATTTGGTATTGAGAAAAGAAAAGAATCCAAGACATTTTGGATTAAACAGTCATATAATAGTCATTATGGACTTTCAAGACAAGTGTGGGCAATATAGTAAAACTCTGTCTTCATAAAAAAACAAAGAAATTAGCGCCTCTACTCCCAACTACTTAGGAGGCAGAGGTGGGAGGATCATCTGAGCCTGGGAGGTGGAGGCTGAGTGAGCCAAGATGGGTAACAGAGTGAGACCCTGTCTCAAAAAAAAAGAGAAAGAGGCCAGGTGCGGTGGCTCAAGCCTGTAATCCCAGCACTTTGGGAGGCCGAGGCGGGTGGATCACGAGGTCAAGAGATCGAGACCATCCTGGTCAACAAGGTGAAACCTCGTCTCTACTAAAAATACAAAAATTAGCTGGGCATGATGGTGCATGCCTGTAGTCCCAGCTACTCGGGAGTAGCTGAGGCCAGAGAATTGCTTGAACCCAGGAGGCGGAGGTTGCGGTGAGCTGAGATCGCGCCATTGCACTCCAGCCTGGGTAACAACAGCAAAACTCCGTCTCAAAAAAAAAAAAAAAAAAAAAAAAAAAGAGAGAGACAGAGAGAGGAGAGAGAGAGAGAGAGAGAAAGAAATATTCATATCAGGCAATAATCGAAGAAAGTTTTTTTGTTTTTTTTTGTTTGTTTTTTTGAGACAGTTTCACTCCTGTTGCTCAAGGCTGGTGGGGGTACAATGGCATGATTTTGGCTCACTGCAACCTTTGCCTCCTGGGTTGAAGCCATTCTGCCTCAGCCTCCCGAGTAGCTGGGGTTACAGGCATGCACTGCCACAACCAGCTAATTTTGTGTTTTTTAGTAGAGACAGGTTTCTCCACGTTGGTCCGGCTAGTCTTGATCTCCCGACCTCAGGTGATCTGCCTGCCTTGGCCTCCCCAAGTGTTGGGATTATAGGTGTGAGCCACCTCGCCCAGCCACAAAGAAACATTTTAATGATTTTTGAGTATTAAACTAACAAAGCTTAAAATTTCAAAAGCCAAAAAAATCTTGAGGGCAGGCTGGTTGAGAAGTAAATACATCAGAGAAAACTACTTAGAAATAAAGAGAAAACAGATAATCTGCCTAGCTTTTTTTTTTTTTTTTTAAATCTGCCTAGCTTTTAATACAATTCCAGTCTTATGCTCCACCTGCCTGGGCCTCCCAAAGTGTTGGGATTACCTCCATGAGCCACCACACGCAGCTAAAAAATTATTTTAAAAGCATCAGAACTATTGCACTTTCAATTATAAAATATATGAAAAAATATTTATATTTTTGGAGACAGGAGTTTGACTCTTATAGCCCAGGCTGAAATGCAACGGTGTGATCCCCGCAACCGCTGCCTCCCAGGTTCAAGTGGTTCTCCTGCCTTAGCAGGGATTACCGGCATGTGCCACCACGACTGGCTAATTTTGCATTTTTAATTGACACAGGCGAGGTTTCTCCATGTTGGTCAGGCTGGTCTCAACCTCCAAACCTCAGGTGATCCACCTGCCTTGGCCTCCAAAAGGGCTGGGATTGCAGCCATACACAGCTGGAAATACTTTTTCAAAACAACTCTATTGACACCTTTGCAGGAAATATCCAAGAACAAAGTCTGTTACTTACGTTTGAGGGTTAAACATGTTAGAGAGTTGAAAACACTGTGTTGCAAGTGGCTGAACAGAGGCAGCTGCAGCTAAAGCTGAAGCTAAAAGAAGAGAAAGAAAAATTAGTTTCATGGAAAATGCATGAAAGTATCCCTCATAACTACTTTAAAACAAAACCAAACACCCACCCCAAGCATGTAACTAGGATGTCACTCAAGTATTTTACCTAATTTAATACTACTACTAAATCAGTAGCTTCTAGGTGCCAGAAAATTGAGGCAACCTAATATAGACATTCAGAAATTTGAGAGTACTATTTTTAACAAGGAAATTAAAACTGTTATCAAAATTAATTCGACAAAATCTCAATATGCATCAATCCAAATAGACAAAGGATAAGATTTGTTTGGTATGATTATCAGTTTATACTCCAATAAGGGGATAATAATAAAATCCTTTGAAATGCCAAATAAATGTATACCCTTTTGTATTTCTTAGCTTTCTGCCCATGAATAGTTTTAAATCTACAAACATTTTAATGTTTACAAGAGGATTAAAAGACATTTAAAATTATCCAAGCATTTCAAGACAATGTCCTAGAAAACTAAATTCTATTAAGAATCCTATTAAGTAAATCCTATTAATAAATCAATGTTTTAAAAATGGTATTTTAGCACAATAAAACAACACTGAAAAGAGCCAAATGTATCTATAATATTCACTGCTGCCAACTTAAAAATTGCTGAACACTTTTATTCGAATTCAAAACATACTGGAGTTTGAAGTGTAAAGAGCATTTTCCAAGACAGCTGCTCCAATGCTTTCATGTGATTTACAAAAATATTACCAGTAGCTGTTACAGAACTCACCGTAATCATATTATCTGACCAAATTTCATTCCAAAACATAATAACAAACAAAGCTAAGGATAAAACAGTGCATTAGAAATTACGGTAATTAAAATAAACGATCACTTATAGTATCAGAAATATCACACTGAACAAAAGTTAGGGCTGTGCATGAAATATATAATAATTACTTTGTGGTAGCATTACAAGTGCTTTAGCTTCTTTGTAATATACAAGTATTTTTTCCTTCATAAATTTGTTTTTTAATAAAATTTTAACATGACATCAAATTCTACTAGAAAAAAGTTAAAGATTCAAGAGTATATTATAGCTATACAAAAATGAAGATCACTCTGTAGTTTATAGAAGATATGTGGAAGTATCTTTGGAAAAACTAGAAAGTCTAAACAGAACTAAGGAAGACTTCATTCTTCCAGTTTCTCATGTTTCATGTTATATACTATGAATACTAAGAATTATTAAGAAAATGTACTATACAAACATTCCCATTCAACCTAGATAAATGCAAAACACAGTAAATCTGGGAAAATCCTCCACCTGTACTTTTAAAAGTATCTTAACAAAAACAGCACTGAGGGGCCGGGCATGGTAGCTGACACCTGTAATCCCAGCACTTTGGGAGGCTGAGATGGGTGGATCACTTGAGGCCAGGAATTCAAGAACAGCCTGACCAACATGGTGAAACCCTGTTTGTACTAAACCTACAAAAATTAGCTGGGTGTAGTGGTATACGCCTGTAATCCCAGCTGTTCAGGAGACAAGCAGGAGAATTGTTTGAACTTGGGAGGTGGAGGTTGCAGTGAGCCGAGATCATGCCACTGCACTCCAGCCTGGGGTACAGAGCAAGACTCCATGTCAAAAAACAAACAAAAAAAAAACAAAAACAAAAAACAAACAAACAAACAAAAAAAAACCCAGTACTGACTAGAACAATCTTGCTTGCTAAAAAATTAATTCTTGACTATGACAGAACATGACATGTTTCTCATACCGAATCATTTCCTTAAACATTAAGCATACTCCTATAAAAGATGATATAGAACTTACATTATCAGCAAAATGCTCATGTCAAGCAACAGAGATTAAGTGATAACAAAAAACAAGAAATCATAGCCTACTTAATGGATACTTTCTCTGAAATGTGCACGTATATTAAGTCTGGATAAACCTCTTATTGCTTGGTACTGGCTTATAGAAATGAATGAGTATCCTTTCTTAACCAACGAGGGTGAGTTTTATAGTTCGATTCCTAACTTTATACTAAGACAACTTCCAGATTCTATGTTCTAAAATATAAAATACTTGCCTACTTGATAACAACAGAATATATCATTTCCTGACTTCTGTATGAAACTTATCAACAATTACAACACAGGCATAAAACGAATACATTGAAAATTTTAAGCAAACTAAAGCAAAAAAAATTGGTATTTTGATTTTCTTGAAGTCCATTAACGATTTGGGTTAGGTCTTATGAAATACAGATTACTATGTATATACCACTATGAGCCACTGTGTCAAAATTCAGGTCCAGATTACTGGTATAAATATGACAATAAATACAGAAAACTCTCTTACTACATTTAATTCTATTTCAAAGACAAAAATAAAAAATATAAACACTTCAACTCACCTTCAGTCTGCTGGGAAAGTCTTGTTTGCAAATCTATAACAAAAGAGAATTCTACAGCTCAGTGCAGGAACAATGAAGAGCCTCAACTAACAGGGTAAATGTCAGGAAAGCATTAATAAAAGAGGACTATAGCAGCAGGGTTTATTCAAATGTACTTAGTAAAACCTGGCAGCAAAACCTCCTTCCCCATTCCTCATTGACAAGGCTTTGGGGCCTTTTTTTTCCCCTCTTATCCTGGGAAGCTTACTTTTCCCTCTCTCTTCCTATACTACTCTTCCACATCTCAAGTGAATTCCACTACACTAGTATTCAGCTGGGAATAATGGGAAATGGGGAAAGGGAAGCACACCAGTCAGAAAATGAGTGAAAAACCCTGATCTTGAGAATTCAATTCCAAGTACTTGGGAAATACAAGTATTTATTTTTTTAATGGCCGTAAGTACTTAACACCATAAAAGGATATTATAAAATAGTAAATAGTGCACATCAAAAAGCTGTAAACACATTCAGTGATTTCCCAATTTAGGAAGAACATCACCATTGGGAAATACACCATTCCAACAGTATGGATATATTATTAAAGGGCCTTAAAAAGATTTAACTTGTTTTAACTTGTCAAATCTAGCCCACAATGATGCAACTTGATTAATTACTCCCTGGCCTAGTGTAAAAATTTAGTAAAGCAGGGATAAATCTCTGGAATTTTCTTAGCATCTATGAAGATTAGGAAAATGAACGTATCTAAGCAGTATTAAAAATAAGTGAGAGCTTTGACCAATATATTTTCTCATAGATTTCAACAGTTGGGTGGCATCTTAAAAGAAAGCTACTACAGGGTGAAACAATAGCAAGTCTGAATAGTAAAGAAAACTGCCACAGTGCTATGATGCTCTCTTGAAGTTCCTTTTTTTTTTTTTTGTTCTACTTGTACAAATATACAACATCAAAATTTTGATTCAGTAACCTACTTTTCATTGAAATTTAATTCAATTCCAACACTTTATTACCACATTTATGGGTTTCTTGCTGGGGACAGAAAATGATCATAAAACATGGGCAAAAATGTACAGGGATCTGCATCCAAGTTATATTGGGATATAATACCTGGGTCCTACTTGCTGAAAATTGGCATCTCAGGGAGCTGAAGAAATGTAACTAGTGTACACTGAAGGAACTTGAAGATATGACCATGAGAACAGTGTCAATAAACTTTAAATAACAGAATTTGTCTTTTTTTTTCTTAAAATGGGAAAAAATGTAGATATGAGAAATCCATGCTATTTTGTCTATCAACCCAATCATAATTTCAAAAATGATCTGTTGTGTCATTTGTGACAAAGTAAATAAAGCATGGGTTTCATAAAGATAAGGACTCTAACCTATCTTAGAAAGGGCCTATTGAATTGGCAGACTAAAATAATGTGGATATGATGATGATCCACCCTTGGTTTTACCCAGTATCTTTCAAAGACCTAAGGGACAAGGGCCTCAAACACAGTGAACACTCAAAATTTTATTTCAACTAGGTATATGTAATGTTTTAATGACTACCATCTGGAGAAAAACATCCACAGATATCTTTACAGATATTCACCTAAAACGTGGGTGTTATTAATGCAGAAGAAATTTATAGCAAGTATAACAAAACAAGAAAGATCTTTAAAATCATCTCGACCACCAGCAGTAAAAAAAGGGAATGTAACAAGATACATAGATAAATAAAGCATAGGGACGACTGTCTGGAATTCAAATAGTGTGTTAGGATTTTAGCTGACTACATTCAATCTTAATATAAACTACACGATGAGACAGAACCCAGAGAAGTACAGTCATACGTAATAAAAGAAATAATGGCTAATGGTAGAGCTGATATTTAACAGTAGATAATCTTCAGTTAACTGAAGATAATGTTTTTAAGACCAAATCAACTTATCTGATACAGCATCCAGGGTGTAACAGTAATTGTCTATAATTGACCCCTTTATCACTGTATCAATTCCTGGAGGCAGGAACAAATCTTTCACCACCCTTTAATGGAATACCTAGAATATGAATTAAAAATTTCTAAATTATCAAAGAACAATTATGAAGAATGGGAAGAAATATGGGTAAACAGTTTTCTGGTAAAATAATTTTTAAACTGTAATAATAGGGTACAATTCTCCAAGTAATGAGTGTAGTATTAATTAGAGCAAGTGACAATAGACATTTATTCACTGTAAAGGATGAAATAACACTATAAACTCAAAATAAATTAAATATTAATCCAATGGAATAACTTAAAGATACCTGAGAAGTCATAAATGACTATTAAATACACAAATGCCTTACTGGTTGTGATTCTAAGTATAAACTGACTTCATTGTCAGAAATCTAGTTAAGTATCTGCTTATCAAATTTCAAGATAAGTCATACAATTTGATAGAGAGGAAATGAAACCAAAGGCTGGTTTACTCACACACTTAAGAACATCCACTAAGGCGGCAAACAGTAAAAAAATGTAAAAACAGAAATGATCTCCTTTAATTGAATACTGAGCTTTCAATCTAGAAGAAAATCATGAAGCAACCACAGGACCTTTTCATACATTCAGATGTAGTACTTCCATGATCTAAAATACATCTTCTCAGTTACATTCTCACTTAAGGTCAAAGGACCGGCCAGGTGAGGCGGCTCATGCCTGTAACCCAGGACTTTGAGAGGTCAAAGTGAGCAGGTCTCTACTAAAATCACAAAAATTAGCTAGGTATGGTGGCCAAAGTATGTGATTCCAGCTATGTGGGAGGCTGGGGCACCAAAATTCCCTGAACCCAGGAAGCAGGGTTTTTTGAGAGACAAGAGCAAGACTCCAACACCGAACACCAAAATAAAAAAAGGTTCCTCTTAACAATGTTCTAAAAGCATGCCTTTGACATTTCAAAATTAAATCCTATCTCCTAGATTTGGGTCAATGTCAAGGCTTTTAGTTGTTACAGGTAATTAAGGCATAAGGGCAGGACACAGTGGTTCACACCTGTAATCCCAGCATGTTGGGAGGCCAAGGCGGGCAGATCACTTGAGGTCAGGTGTTTAAGACCAGCCTGGCCAACACAGTGAAACCCCACCTCTACTAAAAATATCCCAGCTACTCAGGAGGCTGAGGCATGAGAATTGCTTGAACCCAGGAGGCAGAGGTTACAGTGAGCCGAGATAGGGCCAATGGACTCCAACTTAGTCAACAGAGCAAGCCTCCATCTCCAAAAAAATTTTAAAAAATTAACATATGAAAAGGGAAGAATGGGTGTTTTATGAACTGAATCCCTTTTTACACAATTGTAAAAATTTCAATTCATCCTTCTTTTCCAGTTGTCCCAAAAAATTCCATCTCCCAATTCATGATCTTAAATTTTTATATACTTTAAGAAAAATAACTGTCTCTACACTCTTACTAGTATAATAGTTTTAAGTAAAGTTTTCTTAAGTGCTTCTGGTATTTTCTGAATTCAAATATTATAAAAAATAAATTTAGTACCTCACAATATAGACCTTACAGTGTTTAATAAAAGTGATATATTTTAAAAGATACAAAGTTACATGAATGAATTTCAACTAAAAACGGGTGTAGGGTTACAATTGTCCTGACAGCTCATTTTGATGCATGGTTAATTCTACCCTCCATCTGCACTGCCTTACATATAAGACTAGGAACTTCTAGCCTAGAAGTACTTGATGAATTGAATTCTCAGTAAGTCCTTTTTAATGTAAAAATTTGGAAAATTTTCGAATTAGATGAAAAAACAATGATTTCAAATTAGAAAAGATTCAATTCCTACCTGCCACAGCACCAAATGCCAAAGAGCCACTCATTTGCAGAGCCTGCTGTGCTGCTGGTGGAATCTGCAAACCTGTACCTGTAAAAGAACAGGTGTGAATGTTCTTACTATGTTGAGGGCACAGAAACAAAGTTTTCTGGGTGGTTAATATCATGATCACTTCACTAAAATAAATCGCAAGGAGGGCCAATGTTAAGGGACCAAACACATCCGGCAGAAATCCCATTTCTTAAAAACAATCAACCAAATAACCAAAAAAAAAAAAAAATAAATAAATAAAAAATAAATAAAAACCTGCAGGAATTAATTAGCCAGGCAGGGGGGTAGTGTTAGTCCCAGCTATTTGGAGGTTAGGGTGGGAAGATGGATTCAGCCAAAGAGGCAGTTTGCAGTCAGCCAACATCGCCCAACTGCACTCCAAATTGGGCAAGACGCTGTATGAAAAAATAAGAAATTGAGGCAGAGGAATCGCTTGGGCCGGGGGCGTTGACTCATGCCTATAATCCCAGCACTTTGGGAGGACAAGGCAGGTGGATCACAAGGTCAGGAGTACAAGACACACCTCATCAACATGGTAAAACCCCATCTCTACTAAAAATACAAAAATTAGCCAGGCGTGCTGGCACACGCCTGTAATCCCAGCTACTTGGGAGGCTTAGGCAGGAAAATCGCTTGAACCCAGGAGGCAGAGGTTGCAATGGGCCAAGATCATGCCACTGCATTCCAGCATGGGCAACAGAACCAGACAGTCTCAGAGAAAAAAAAAAAAATTAAGAAAACTTGTAATATTTTTATTCTTTTTTTTTTGGGGACGGAGTTTCGCTCTTGTTACCCAGGCTGGAGTGCAATGGCACGATCTCGGCTCACCGCAACCTCCGCCTCCTGGGTTCAGGCAATTCTCCTGCCTCAGCCTCCTGAGTAGCTGGGATTACAGGCACGCGCCACCATGCCCAGCTCATTCTTTGTATTTTTAGTAGAGACGGGGTTTCACCATGTTGACCAGGATGGTCTCGATCTCTTGACCTCGTGATCCACCCGCCTCGGCCTCCCAAAGTGCTGGGATTACAGGCTTGAGCCACCACGCCCGGCCAATATTTTTATTCTTAAGTTTGAGATACAAGCATATTATAGAAAGGAAAATAAATCTTGCAAACTATTGTCACGCTCAAAAGACATAATGTAGATTTCCATTTATTAATAGAAGGCACATCATCTATAAAACAACATAAAGTGTGGCCAAGGATAATGCCAACTACAAAATAAAATATTTTTCCAATGCCTGTAAAGGAGGCTGAGGCGGGATGATCACAAGGTCAAGAGATGGTCCATCCTGGCCAACGTGGTAAAACCCCGTCTCTACTAATAAATACAAAATTAGCTGGGTGTGGTGGCGCATGCCTATAGTCCCAGCTACTTGGGAGGCTGAGGCAGGAGAATTGCTTGAACCTGGGAGGTGGAGGTTGCAGTGAGCCAAGATGGCGCCACTGTACTCCAGCCTGGTGCCTGGCAACACAGCCAGACTCCGTCTCAAAAAAATAAAAAAAATGTTTCCATTTCTTAGTTTGCATGGCTACCTTTCTACCCCACAATGCCCACAGTAAATCATTCATAATAGCAAGAAACACTTACCCTCTGCAAGTCTTGCCATTAACTGAAGACGACCAGTTGTTCCCAAATCAATTCCAGTCCTTTCCAGTTCATCACTGTCCAAAAATGAACTAGCACTCGAGGCATCAGTACGTTCAGTCACATGACCAACTTTCATTGGCCTTCCTGCTAGTTCAAATCCATTAAGTTGTTCCAAAGCCTTTTTGGCACATTCTGAATCAGAAAACTGTATGATGGGGGAGGTCGGAACAAGAACAATATTTTAGTTCTTAAAATAAAAACTCTAATTAAAAATATATTTACATTGTTAGTATATTCAATAATTACTACTGAATGCTGAGGTAGACATTTCAAATTATAAGTAGCAAACACAACATACATGATGACGACACTAACTCATGCAAATGAAGCTGCTTGATGTGGTAATTTAAATAAAAAATATTACGAGAAACGACAGCTTTCTATTTGAGAACATGGGATCTTGGTTAGAAAATGTGCAACCAGGTCGGGCGCAGTGGCTCACGCCTGTAATCCCACAATTTTGGAGCCCGAGGCGGGCGGATCACGAGGCCAATAGATCAAGACCATCCTGGCCAACATAGCGAAACCCCGTCTCTGCTGATACAAAAAATTAGCTGGGCATGGCGGCACGCACCTGTTGTCCCAGCTACTTGGGAGGCTGAGGCAGAATTGCTCGAGCTCAGGAGGTGGAGGTTGCAGTGAGCCAAGATCGTGCCACTGCACTCCAGCCTGGCAACAAAGCTAGATTCTGTCTCAAAAAAAAAAAAAAAAAAAAAAAAAAAAAGTGCAACTAGCCATGTGCAGTAGCTGAGACCTGTTATTACAGCACTTTGGGAGGCCGAGGCAGGCAGATCACCTGAGGTCAGGTCGAATTTAGTATTTTTTTTTTTTGACATGGAGTCTTGCTCTAGCATCCAGGATAGAGTGTTAGCTAACTTAAACAGACTGATTATCAACATAAACAGGCTTAAATTTTATTGAAATGCAGATATGTCACCAATTTTAATTTACTAATAGAGATATATAATGTACTTTAAAAAATACCATGTTTCCAAGACCATAAAAGGTTATATAGAATTCACATATCTGAAAAAACTGCCATCATGTATTTGGGTTTCATAATGAGATAACATTAATACTTAAAAACACTTTGCTTTTAAAAGTAAAAGGCACATCTACTTACAATTACTTCAGCTGTCACCTCATAATCCTACTAAGACAGGGCATCCATAGCTGGCCAGAAACACTTTTTAAATTTTTTTTTGAAATAGAGTCTTGCTCTGTTAACCAGGCTGGAATGTAGTGGTGTGATCTCGGCTCACTGCAACCTCCACCCCCACCCCGTGTTGAAACGATTCTTCTGCCTCAGCCTCCCGAGTAGCTGGAATTATGGGCATGTGACACCATGACTGGCTAATTTTTTGTATTTTTAATAGACACAGGGTTTCACCACATTGCCCAGGCTGGACCTGAACTCCTGACCTCAGGTGATTGCCTGCCTTGGCCTCCCAAAGTGCTGAGATTACAGGTATGAACCACCGCGCCCAACCCAAAAACACTTTTAATAAGATAATTCTGGTCTTGGTTGTGAGGTTTGTACACTAAAAAGGATCTTAAGTAAAAAAGAACCCTAATAGACCTTCATATAACTGGTAACAATGTGTCATAATGTTATCAGAGACAGAAGTAGAAAACATTCAATTATGGCTGAGGCGGGCGGATCACGAAGTTAGTAGTTTGAGACCAGCCAGGTCAACACAGTGAAATCCCAACTCTTCTAAAAATACAAAAAATTAGCCAGATGTGTTGGTAGACACCTGTAATGCCAGCTACTCGGGAGGCTGAGGCAGGAGAATAGCTTGAACCCGGGAGTCAGGGGTTGCTCTGAGCCGATATGGTGCCATTGTACTACAGCCTGGCAACAAAGCTAGACTCTGTCTCAAAACAAACAAACAAAAAATGCAATTATATGACGAACTGGCTAATCAAACTGACCATATATACATACTGTATACAGTATAAAGGATAACAAGAGCCGGACGTGGTGGCTCATGCCTGTAATCCCAGCACTTTGGGAGGGGCCAAGGCGGTCAGATCACAAGGTCAAGAGATCGAGACCATCCTGGCCAACATGGTGAAACCCCATCTCTACTAAAAATACGAAAAAATTAGCTGGGCGTGGTGGCGCGTGCCTGTAGTCCCAGCTACTCAGGAGGCTGAGGCAGGAGAACTGCTTGAACCCTGGAGGTGGAGGTTGCGGTGGGCCAAGATCACGCCACTGCACTCCAGCCTGGAGCCTGGCGACTGAGCGAGACTCTGCCTCAAATTAAAAAAAATAATTAAAAAAAAAAGGGGGGGGGGAAGGGTAACAGAAACATAGTAATATAGTTTGGATGCTTGTCCCCTCTAAATTTCATGTTGAAATGTGATCCCCACTGTCGAAGGTGTGACTTAGCAAGGTGGAAGACGGGGCAGATCCCTCATGAATGGCTTGGTGCACTCCCCCTGCTAATGGGTGAGAGTCACTGCTCTGTTACTTCACAACACATCTTCTGTCTTCCTCCCTCTCTCTCCAAGTGACACCTGCTCCTCCATCCAACAACCACAGTAAAGCCTTTGTGAAGCACGAGTAAAAGCTTCCTAAGGCGGCAACAGAATCTGAGCAGCTCTTAGTGTCATGCTTGTACAACCTGCAGAACCTGATAATCTGTTTTCTTAAATACTTTATATTTATTTTTCGAGGCAGTCTTACTCTGTTGCCCAGGCTGGAGCACACTGGCATGATCTCAGCTCACTGCAACCTCCACCTCCTAGGTTCAAGCAATTCTCCTGTCTCAGCCTCCCGAGTAGCTGGAATTACAGGCACGCGCCACCACGCCTGGCTAGTTATTAGTGGAGACAGGGTTTCACCATGTTGGCCAGGCTGGTCCCGACTCTACTCCAGCATGGGAAACAGAACGAGACTCTAGCTCATGAAAAAACAAGCAAGTTAATTAATTAAAAATTAAAAACCAGGCCGGGCAGGGTGGCTCACGCCTATAATCCCAGCACTTTGGGAGGCCGAGGTGGGTGGATCGCGAGGTCAAGAGATCGAGACCATCTGGTCAACGTGGTAAAACCCCGTCTCTACTAAAAATACAAAAATTAGCTGGGCATGGTGGTGCATGCCTGTAGTCCCAGCTACTCGGGAGGCTGAGGCAGGAGAATTGCCTGAACCCAGGCTGGAGTGCAATGGCGCGATCTCGGCTCACCGCA